AAGTTTATGATGACTCTCTTCCCAGAAAATTCAGTCATTAATGAATCATGCAAACTGTATCCTAGATAAGAAAATATTCAAAACCATGGTTCTGATGAATGTGTGCTGTTTCAACTGCCCATGCACACATATACATTTCATTATATAACTGCCACTGAGATTTAAACATTTCTCTTTCTGCTTTTCATTGTATTACTTTTCAACTTGTTATTTTCATGAAGAATTGTGAATTCTTTCTCACACAAATACCCAGTAAAGGCAGTAAAATACTACTCTGAACTCCTGCAATTGCTTTTCTGTTAAATGTTATCAATAGTAGTATTTTGAGCAGCGGCAAAATTTTATATAAAAGCTTTTAGGTGAAACATGAGAGAAAAATTAAAATGGGTAGTAAAGTCCCAAAGAGGATACCAGAAGTTCCTAAAACTATGTTGATGTCTCAATGTCCCTCCAGATGCTGTTAATGCTAGTAAATTCAAAACAACTACCCTAAAGGCAGCCAATTTCTGAAAAAGAAAAAGGTTAGAAGAAAAAGGAAGGAAGATCACATAACCTTTTTTTACATGTGTGCTGTTTGACTGGAACGGCAATTCATGACTTAACATCATCTTCAAAGTCAGTACTGATGTTTTGAACATAGCATGAGAAGAAGCAAACAACAGACCACCAAAACACATCTCTTTTCTTTCCAGGTCTTGCCTGAAAGACATTATGAGCAAGATGGGCCAGAGAGATGAGGTATTTGTTGAACAGGAGCCCAATACAGCTCAATGTTAGAATCCCAAAAGTACTGTCTTTGTGTTTTGGTTAACTCCTTAAAACATGAGGTCCAAGAAACACACACAGATCTCTGTAAAAAACCCAGGACTAAGGCCAGGATCTTTTGGCCTGTAACAGATGCATTAACCAGGCTCTGAATTACAGTATCAGCTGCACCTAAAAGAAGTACAGTCAGTGAACGGAATTGTCTGCAGTGCTGACAAACTGTAGTGACACCACTAAGGATCACACCACAGAAATCCTACGTAATGCAGCATCCTGTGATGTACTTGGCCATGACAGCTTTGAACATAACTGAATGGCACTGAAAGAGGCTAAAGATAAACCTATTTTTCTTCTATCTTCAAAGTAATAAATGAGACTCTGGATTCCCTCACCAATAACTGTTTTGAAGTTTCACACAGCTGTATAGACAAGAGACGTAAACATGACACATATAAAGCTTCTTAGTTTCTGTCAGATGGATTTGACTTTTAAAGCTAATTCCATATATTATGAACCTACAGCAAGCCCAGATTCACCACAAGAGGCTTCCAGGCAAGCTTCAGGATGTCATCTCTGAAGTGCTCTGCTGCCAAAACCTCCACCAGAAATACAAAACATATATGCTACCCTAAACAGCACAGGGAGTTGGGAATCCCCAGTGCTTCCAACTGTTGTATTCTTCTGATATAGAAGAAATGATCCCCTTTTCAAACACATTCTGGACAACAGATCCAAACATCAACACAACAGGCACACTGCAGTGCCAGTGAGCGAGTGATGCAACTAGGAGCAGGAGAAACGTACATTTTGCTGTGTCTCTGTAGAGGTGGACAAAGACAAACATTGTCAAGTCCCAAGCAGGTAGATTAGCACAAAACAATGTTCCGTGTTTCCCTTCTGAAGTTTCTACTCCACTGGGGCTGAAATTACATAACTCCTACCGGAGTTTTCCATGCAAAATGTTTTCCCATGTTTTGTCAGGTTGTAGAGTCCATTAGAAAGCCAGAGCCAGTGGCTCTGCCAACTGAATACAATCTCACAGAGTTTTATAGTACACTTTGGTCTGCTTGAAAGCAGGACTTTCAAGGAACCTACATAAATACAACAATGGTTCTGCTGACATAGCAGTGTGTGTCAGTGGAGTGACTGAACACAAATGAGCAACCTACAAACTGCAAGGCAATACACACCCCTACAAACCTCCAAGGTCTCAGTGCTGAGGACTAAAAAACTGGTTATGAACAAAGCACTTGCACCACAGATCAGCAGTGACTGTCACACATTTTGCTGCATGAAAGCAACAGCTCATCTATACCAGAGTTAGACTCAGAATCCTCAAAAACTTTTCTGTGCTAGCTATACAGGGATGCAAAACTGCACAACTGCAAAACTTTGCACCTTCTTCTGTGCTTTGCACCATAGCAGAAGGTGCAAAGTTAGGCCTTGCACAGACAGTTGAACTTCTGAAAATTCATGCTTCACCCTGAGCAGCTGTGACTTGAGCCTCCCTTTTTGAGAAATTTCCAAAAGATTGTATGTCTAACAACTGTGTGATATTTCTGAGCTGCTCTCCAAACATGGAGGAGAAAAAAGAAAATTTAAAAAAGGAAAATTCAAGAAGCTATTTTTAATTTTTCGATATAAATAATTTAATATTTTATGTAAAATTACCTTTTATTTTCTGTCACATACCTTAATTGAATGACTTTTTTTTTTCCTTTTGATATCTATGTCAGTTTGGAGTTTCAGGTCAGACTCTATCCAAGAGTTTAGGCAGCTTTAGGCAGCTGAATCCAGGAAAAAATTTCTGAATACACATCTTTGCTGGTTCTTACAGCTTCAATGCTTTATAATTAGAAACATTTCAAACAATAGGACTCCAGAGTTACAGAAAGTAATTCTGCAGCTGTTTTTATTCCTTTACATCTAAGATAGAGATAATGACTCATTTCCCAGTTCTCAAAGATTATTTAAAGTTATTTAACTTGCTCTGAAAAAATCTGAGATTGCTTTTGAAGTTGTAATTAATTAGTTAAGTGTAATCCACAGCCACTTCTCTTGGTGAAGTTTTTGAAGGTATTTCTCACAGACCTTTGTCCTTCTTGCAAGATCCTGACAGTTTTAGTGATGAGAATGATAAAGGGAAAGCTGTGTCAAATACTACATTGCTGCATGGCTGTCTGTACAAATGCTTTCTGACAGTAAGGTTAGATACAACAAAATTCTTTATATTTTTATGCCGGAGGGATTTAAGTATTTTCCTGGAACTGAAATTCATACCGTTTGTGACCCTTTCCAGAAGATAGCCTTGTAAGTAATGGTAATTCTTTTTTAAACCTATAATTGTGATATTTCAATCATCACTTGTATAAAGTGTTCCTGGGAGATATCTGGTACACAGCACATGAAGGATTAGTTATACAATTTACACTACTAATTCTGAATGCTACCCATTTATTTCCATTTTCAATTCCTTTTAAAGAAAACCAAACCTCTAATCTGGGAGATTAGAATCCAAGATTATCCCCCTTAGTAATTGGTTTATACAATTTTTAAACTCTTTGGATCTGTTTGACTGAAGTAATGGCTGCCAGTAGTAATGACTCTTATGTCAATATTTTGTGGAAGCAAGATCCAACACATCTCATAAAAAGCCATCTGTTTTAGTGAAGTTATTCAGAGAAAACATGCCACTTTCAAATTATGTGGACGTACTCTGTCTCTCCTGAAGGATTCATAAAAATACTTTGCAGGCCTGAAACACCCCTGATCTATCAGAATATTTTCTTCCATTTAAGATGTGACACCTCTCACTTAGACTTTGCTGGATTTCTCCAATCAACATAAAATTCGTCTCTGGATAATCTCTGGGTTGCTCTTCCACACAAACTTATTTCAATTATTTACTGACTTCCCATTCAGGAAGAGGATGGGAAATGGTGGAAACAGTAGACATCATCAATTATAAAGAAGTCCTTAATGAAGGACTGTTCAAACTTTTTTTTTTTAATCCAGTGATCACACACATACAAAATGAGTCACACCTGTATAACTCCATTCCTGATGTCATACAAATGAAATGTATGGTCATATCCTTTCAAAACACTGACCTGAGACACCTCTAGTTAAATTCTGAGTCTTACACCATGCAGACACTAAAGTGGAAATGTTTCTGATACTAGAAACACAAAGCTCTAGTCCTGGAAAGATTTCAGTCTGAATGCTTCCTAACAAAAATATAAGTACATCCTTTTCCCCCAATCCTCTCTTAATTTGGTCACAGTATTTATTTGATGTTCATGTTCTGGGGTAAACACTCAATACACAGTGAGTTGGATTCACTTTATAAATTAAGACAAATGGGTACATCCATCCACAGGCATATCAGATGTCCAGGCTCTCATTTTGAGAGAGACAACTTTAGGACCTAGTACCCAGAAAACATTCTTTAGGCTCCAAGGATTACAGGGATAAGATAATTTGCTCTTCTGGTAGCACAGTTACTTACATGGGGACACTAAATTGTTACATCTAAGTGTCAAAAAATACAACCATCATGTCTGTTCCAAGATACTCTAAAATCCAGAATAAAAACTAAAAATCCTAAAACGGGCAATGGGATTCACTACCTGTAGGGCATCTTGTGAAGAAAGACAGGGATATTTCAGTTGAATGAGGAAATTAACATGATGATACATTTTGATTTTTACACACACCAATGAATACAAACAAAATGCAATTCAGTCCTACTTGTTGTTTGTGATGGGGACATTATTTTTTAAGTTTTCACTCATTTGCTTATATATTTTTAAAACACAAATTTGCAAGTAGCTAGAGAATGATGGATATCTGAAGCAAACAAACTATATAATTTAGATGCTCAAGTAAGAAGTTCATTACATATGAATAAATATCTACAGTATATCTCCATATAGCAGGAGAAACAATGTGTTTTTCCTGCATATTATCTATAAAATTGCTTTAAACTGCATTTTTATCAGTTATTTATAAGTCTTGTACTTGGGAATAGGCTAGAAGCTCTTGCATGCATGAGCAAGAACTTTTTCAAGTGCTTCAGAGGATTTATTATCCATATTGCAAAAAAAAAAAAATCACAAAAATCTCTGGTGCTCTTCAAAATACAAGACAAACTGGTGTTTTAAGAGTACATAAAACCAGGAGAATATTACACTATATGGAAGTAGAATATGAAAGAAGGAATTTTTTAAACTTACCCTATTGACACTCCTATTTCCTAAAATAACTTGAATTAGATTTTTCTTAAATTCTTCTATCTTCTTGAAACACTTCTTCAAAACATGATTTGATAATTTCGTATCAGTTATTAAACTGAGCAAAACACAAACCCCTTCAGTAAGGAAACCTGGAGCTGGGAATTTAGGGCTGTTGTAAAAAAAAGTCAGTCCATCAAGCAACTGAGACACTGAATTGCATATGGTGAAAGAATCATTCTCAAGCTCTGAGAAGTCTGCTTGAAGAACTCCTCTTTCTGACAGTTTTCTTATTTCAAGCAAACGTTGCAAAAAATGCACTGGAGCAGTCAGAGATTGCTCCTTGCTAGTATGGCAAAGATTCAGGGGAGGAACTCTTTCCAACCAATGTTTAGAAGTGTTGAAATTATGCTCAGATTGGTGAAAATCTGAAGCTATGCCTAAAGAATCAAATGCAGAGTCATTATAGACATCACATCCAGAGTCTTCTAGCTGGCTCGAGTAACTTGTAGGATTTATAGATTCCTGACCCAGAAGAGTTTCTGCAGAGGTATCCTGTTTTCCTGAAATGCAAACATGAAAATTACATTTGTGCAATGCTTAGATACATGCTTATTGAAAGTGCCATATATACTTTCTCCTTTTTGCATCCATGCAAAATTCATGTAATACATGCATATGTTGGCGCTCCAAGAACTTCCCATGACTAGAACTTAGCTGTGGAAGAAAGTATTTTTAAATGAAAGTTAAAAATTCAGAAGTTAATGTCTATTTGTGAACAACATGTTTTATGCTCATAGTAATATGAACAGTAATTTTGAGTTTAAAACTGTCAGAAATTTAAATTTTTCCTATATATAATTTAAGTAAACAAACAATTTAAGTGAATATATACACTCCCATTAATTTCCAGGGAAGAAAATGCATGTAAATTTCTGGTCCTCCAAACATTTTCACTGCTTTTATTCTCAAAAACTCAGACTGCTTTTAGAAGGCAGTGAAAGTCTGTTACTATAATTGCATCAAATAAAATATTCTGCTTTATGTATACTCTCTCTCCCCAGTCAGGTAGGAAAATCTAACAGTCAAAGTTGAACAGAACATTAGGTTTGATTTTTTCATTATTTAACAAAGAGGAACACTGAGAATCAAAAGCTTCTTCAGTCATCACCTATCTCATACCATCTCCTTCAACGACACATAAACCACATTTCAAGAGTATACAGTACATTCACACCAATAAATTACTTTTGCATGCTACTGTAGAATCTCTTTCATCCCATTTCACACATTAAATACATTTAAGGCAATGCCTCTCGACATAAACTCAGCTCTAGGTGACAAAAGACACCTGTTCTACATGCTGCCTATGACAAAGGATTACAGTCAAAACAAGCCAGAGAAGTGAAGTGTAAGAGCAACACTCATAAACATCTCAGTGCCATGAGGCAAAGCTTGAACCCCATCTGACCAACTCCTGCCTCAGCCCTGCTTCCCTTCTCAGTCTTGGAAAACTTGACTATACTGTTCATTTTCCACAAGGATCCCATGCAGTACCATACGCCTCTTAAATTAATTAAAACAAATATAGACGGTTTGGCCGCACAGGAAATAGATGTTACATTTCATAGCAAGCTAAAAAAAGCATTTTTAACACAGAAAACATCCCTAAGCAGCAACCTACAGTATTCTGTATGTTAATAAAAAACTATTCAAAAATTTTAATATGGACTTCATGAAATTCACCTATTCAAATTGAATTCTGACCATCAAGTCTCTGAAAACATACCAGTATCAATGAAAGTACTATTATCGAGATCAAAACTGGAAATGTGGTTTATTCATTTATTACTGAGTTTCATGTCTTTAACATTTGGACATATTTGAAATTGCACAGTATTGGCACCAACTGACTCAAAATGAAAGGGTTAACTGTAGGGAAATCAACTGCTGTTTCCAGAAAGTAGGAAAAGCTGGACATTTAAGGCCAGCCTAGCATTTTTAACTTGGAAAGCAAGCAAAGAAGCAAAACACACTTCCCATGGTCTGACTAACAAGAACAGGAATCCATCTTTCATGTCTTCTCTCCCTTGGGTTTTGAGCAAAACACATTCCAGAAAAAAAAAATTGAAAAGTGTTTTTTTGGTGCCATTTAAGGAAAATAGGCCTTTGCAGGGAATCCATCTACTGTGAGTTCCACTATGTGGTTATTTTGTTCCTATTCTCAATCCCATGGGACGACATGAAAATTGCTCATGAGGATTTAATGTCAGAAGCTGCAAAGCAAGAAGTATGTGCAAAAACCCCCATATGTATGTTTTCTGATTCTCTTGTGGAAGTGTAAAAGAAAAAAAAACAAACAACCAAACACTGAAGAGGTGAAAGAAAGGTGAAGTAATGAGAAGAAAAAGGGAAGAATAGTACAGCAATACCCATAGAAACCAAACTTAAGATGTTCCCAAATAAAAGAGGTAGGGTATTCAATGAAACACTCCTTCTACTAGGAGACAATATTTCATTTATTGTTAGGTTCCTAGCCACTGCAATATCAAACTCCTGTTCCACGATGAGCTTCCAGAAAACCCTGTTACACTAAGTCCCCAATATCAGTGTATTTTCAGCTAAATGAATAATACAAAATGCTTAAAATTGTTAAGTGATTTACACGTTTCAGTCATTTGGGGAGGAGGTGGCAGTTATGTTGTAAGACAAAAATAACAGTGCACCAAGAAATCCTCATTATTTCCCTCTACATGTCCAGAAATAGCTTGTAATTTTTTTTCTTGAAAGACGCTAAACTCATTAGTTTGTACCTACCTACTATTCAAATGAGAAAACAGTCTTGATGTTCACACCATGTGGTTATCAAGTAAAAAAAAAAACAAAACACCAAATAACAGAAATGGCATTAAGCCAGCTTCAGACTATCAAGAATCTTTAATTACTAATTTCAAGAACATTTGACTCTAAGTTTATTGAAACAAGAAATATGAAAATGTAGTGTGTGTGATAAAGTGACCACAAATTTTACAACACTATAAGTAATGAAATATCTGGCTGTGAACAATTTTACAGTCTCTTTAAATTTGTCACATCAAATTCAGGAAATATTTAAGTTCTTAATTCCTATTTAGTACTTTAGTTCCTTACTAAACTGAGTTCCTGAGCTGAAAAGCAAAGCAAGATATGGTATCAAAAAGAGCCTTGTGGTGCAAAGGCTGAAGAACTCACATCCCTCTACACATACACATTTCTGCAGAAAAAGTATGACCTGAAAATCAGAAGGCACTCGAGGGATGAGGGAGTGACATACTGCAGTGTGTCAGCAGGGTGTGCTGGCACTAGGACTCAGAACTTACATACTGCAGTGGGACCACAGAATAGAGGCTTTCATCAGGGTAGTGAGATGGCAACCAGCCCCATGATTAGAGAACAGGGAGCCTTCAGCTAGTCCTAAGGAAGCAGACCTCTAGAAAACACCAAAGTCAATCCTATCTCCCACATTCATTCTCTCACTACCCAGTGGGGAGTAGAAGAGGCAGCAGGTTTAAGATCTGTGTAGTAGGAGCTGGGTGGTGGAAGATGCTTTCCTAAGACACTCTGCTGGTGGCTGCCTCAGACTGGAGAACATTTGAAAGAAAAAGGCCAAATGCTACAAGTAGTTCTACAATTAAAACCTGGAAGAAGGGTCCTCAACTGATGAAATTACTGTGAAGTGGTAAAATGATCTTCAAGTCTTCTGAAAAACTTAATCTACCTGCAGTTTCACCACCATCAGGGACTGCAGAACAGAAAAGTGTAGGGGGATAGAATATAAGAAAATAAAGATAGTGTAGAAAGTAAGCTTACCCCTAAGGAGCTGCAGCTGGGCCAATTATCAAAGATTAGGAACAGGCCTGACTTTACCAGGCCACAGCTGTAGCCAATGGGAAGAAGAGTGCTATAAAGAGTGGTTTGGCTGGTTGAGAACTGAGTTGGAGTCAGTTGGCTGCTTTGTGAAGAAAGAGGCAGTACTCTGAAGAGCTACCCATGAGAAAATATCAAGAAAGTGTGAAACTTTTGCAATAAGGGGACAACAGTATGGAATGCCTGTAATAAGATGACAACAGAAAAGTGGCTTGAAGGTGGCAGAGGTGAGAAGCAAAGTGAAGACATGATCTGAATTCTGCAAAGAGAAAATTACTACTGTTTCAAGCATTAGATGTTGTTTATATTCCCTCATTTCATGAGCAGACACATGGATTATCACTTGAAAATCAAAACCACTGACATCAGACATGTAAGGTTCTCTTAAAACTCATTTACAGTTGATACTCTCAGTTCTACTTCTAAAAGAAAAAACAAGAGACAACTAAAAATGAGTCATTAATAGCATCCTGCTTTCCAAGTAGGTGTTCAGTCAATAACCTCTAAAAAGGAAATGAAAACATAAGTGAAATTATGTCCACATCTACATTTTTCAGAGTTCTGTTATTCTTCATTTAATTTTCATTGATCAGTTTGTTTGAAGTGCACTTTTCATGAACAATGAATCAAGTTTATTCTCCTATTTAAAAACACATACATTTTCTTTGCCTTTCTTTCATGTGTAACTCTGCCTCTATTCTGCTGTTTTCATTACTAACTAAGCTGACTAGTTGAGGAGAAAACAACTCTCCCTTCATCATGAACTCTTATGTGTTTAGCACCCCATTGGAACCAAGCCAAACTTCTATTTTCATTATTCCATAATAATAATTCAAAAATGTTATCATAAGATATTATTAGAATTGTCCAAAGAAGAAGTCTTAGAATCCTTGTATCCCACACTTTGCTTCTGCATCTCCATGGGGTTTTTTTTGTAACGGACTTGGATGAGAAAGTCCTTTGTTTGAATGGAAGGTGCTTTTTAATGCTAAAGGTGGATGCTGACAGAGTTTATCCCATTTAGGGATAATTTCACAGAAATTAATATAGGACTGAGTATCTAAATTCTCAAATTGTTCAATGCTAGCATTTAAGTGCTTCTCTAAAGGCTTAGAAGCATATACTTCAATTTGTTAGGGATTTTGCTCACATAAGGCACCTAAATGTTTAGAATTCAGTAAGAACTGAGAAGGATTTTGAGGATATAAACATTCATTTTTAAGGGATCTCTGTAGATGACAGCACGAACCTTCTGTAGTTTGAGTCAAACAAAGCAAACTTGCAGTAAAGATATGAAAGGGTAAATAATCAGATGACAAACATACAGATTTGGCTCAGTTAATGCTCACTAAGCAGCTTCGACAACAAAAGATCTGACAAGCTTTACAATATTGACTATCTCAATGATATGATTGAAACGTGAGTTCTAAGCCAGATAGGGGATATTTCAAAATACTAAGTGAATTAATGTTATCTCTAAATAGACTACCTGACTGAACTGGTAGTACTAAACTATAAGCATTATGTCTTATTAAAAATGTTCTGCATTATGAAACAAACTGAGCTTTGCTAAGAGACAGGAAATACCAGCCTATGAAGACTGCAATGATCTGGATGCAACTTACTGAGATGGAGGTTAAAATGAGATGGACTCCTT